GAAATGGACCTTAAGAGACTGAGAGACCCGTTATAAGTACATCTGCCCCTTCGACAAACTGGTGAAAAAGACCGATCTGCAAAGAGCCCTAGAGTTCCGGCAGAAAGAACAACCTGTTTATAACTCTTGTCTTTGTAATTAAAGCATTGCAGGTGGAAGCTGGGAGCAACATGGGGGCGGAGAATTGGTACCTTTAATTGAAAGAAACACAAGGAACTTAAGGGGAAAAGGGATGAATGCTAAACTCTAAGGATCAGGCATGGTGGAACCTAAGTCTCAAAGGGTTTCGTGAATATTGTCTTAAGTATCCCGATTTCTGAACGAGAACGATGCATTTACGCAGTTGGGAGCCTCACAGGGACAGTGATGCTGGGGGTGTTTGCTTCGTGCATCTTCTTTGCAAGTCAGCAAAACAGAACACACCAGCGCCCCACTCAGCTCGACCGGTTTTTCCTTTTTCATTTAACTTTTCTTATTTTTGGTACAAGAGTAAATAAATCTACCACAAAACAGATCCACAAGCTACATGGAGGCTTCAAAAAGTTCATGGGAAATTCCCTTGGCTTGTATTTCCATCTTCCACGCTGCTTTTGTAAGCCCCTGGTCTGTGGGTGGCCAACAGTCTGAGCTGGATTCATTCACGTGGTTTTTGAGCACACCAGCCGCGAAGAAACCACCAAGAACCCCCACCACGCCCCCCGCCACCAACCACGCCCCACGACAACAACAATATCATCATGATAAGTTGAAACTAACTGGTGGCAGATAAGTGGCACTTTAGATTGTCCCTCGGTCCCTTCGTAAATGTCTGTATGTCCCAGGGCTCTAGGCCAATATCTGGAAATCACTGGCAACACTGCATGCGGTTGTTTTGTTTTGTTTTTCACTAACTCGTCACGGAGGGAGAATTTTCCTCTTTTATTTACCTGCCCCTTCGTTGATCGCCCCCTTCCCCTCCAAACTCTGAAATCAGGGGTGAGGAGGGGTGTTCAGCTCTATTTTCAAATCAGGACAATGTAAGGTTTACAGATTGGCTAAAATCATGGCTCTGTAGCCATTTCCGAACCAGAATAATTTCATTGCTGTTAACTGCTTTGTGCGGTCGCATTCCAGGCTAGCCAGATGGCACTGCCTCTTCGGACACACACTTCCTCCTTGTTTGTGAGCCCTCCAGCCTCCAGCTGTCAGTGGTTTTAAATGCAGTATATGGATCCCAAAGGGTGCAGTTTCTCTTTCTACAGGAATGCATTTCTAGGACTGACTTCAGCCTACCGTCGCCACCCTGTTTTTCTTATCTTAATTGAGAGAAGAATTACTCGTATACTCTTTCAAAGTGTTTTCTACCATATTTCCAGACAACATCTGCCATCCTGTTTTGCACTAGAGTCGGGCGGGATGGAAAGAGGGACAGGGCTTGCCAGACAGGCGATTGGCTTTTTTCTTTCACGCGAGTCATCCCTCCTCAAGGTCAGGTTTTCTCTCTCTTTCCTTCCACCCTTGGGATCACTGTGTATGAAGAGAAACACTTTCAGTGACAAACCCAGACTCCAGGTGCCTTGCAGAGGTTGAAGGCCAGCCCGGATTGCTGCTGCTCCCCCCCCTCCCCCAACCCCTACCAGGCATGATGGAATGAAAGGGTACATGGCCCCACTTCCTGCCCTTCCTCACGGGCTCAGCCCCCTTCCCTCATGACTTTTTTTTTTAAGTTGTATGAATTATTTTTAACCCATTTGTCCTGTTTGTGCAGGGTTTTATAAAAGACACAGCACAGTGCAATGAGCAAATCCTTTCAGGGTGTGTGGGAGGGAGGGAGGGAGGATTCATGGAGAAAAGCCCTTTAAACAAATAGCAAATACTGAACATGTGTAAAATCTTGTATCATTTATGAAATATGAAATTTTTAAAAAAAGAATGTCCGATGTTACCATGACCAGACATTCTCCCTTTGGTCTTTTCTTAAGATCTCTCTCCTCTGCTATCTCAGTCTCTACTTTTGAAAGAAAAGGTTTTTTTGTTTTTTTTTTAAGAAAAGGTATTTTATAGCCTTGTTTAGAATTTGTTATTTTATTATAAACAATCTTCCTCTAAGGCAGCAGTTCTCAACCTGTGAGTTGGGACCCCTTTGGGGGTCAAACGACCGTTTCACAGGGGTCACCTAAGACCATCAGAAAGCATTTATTTGTAATTAGAAATAAATATTTCACAATATTACATATTGTTTTTAAATTAATCATTTTCATTATATTGAATTTTTAACAATGGCAATACATCCTGTATATCAGATATTTACATTAAGATTCATAACAGTAGCAAAATGACAGTGATGCAGTAGCAATGAAAATAATTTTATGGTTGGGGGTCACCACATGAAGAACTGTATGAAAGGGTCACGGCATTATGAAGGTTGAAAACCACTGTTCTAAGGCCTTATAGCCTTTAAGCTTCTGGAAGCTGAAGTCCTCTGGGTGTGGGGAGGCTTTGGCCATGAGGTTTTGTTCAGAAGCAGAGGCCTTAGAAATCAGTCCCTTCTTCAGTTTTTTCACCTAATTCACTCACTCGGGGACTTTAGCTTGCTTTTGTAAATCTGGATAGCTCACAAAACACTTCTCCCTGGACCAACCCTCTTCTTCCTGTCTGTAGAGGTTCTAAAACCATTTTAACTTGAGCCCACAGAGACCAGGTTCCCACGGGAATATTCTCCCCCACTCTGTTGTTTGTCCCGACTTCTGCCCAGGTCTCTACATCTAAAGTTCCTTCCTCTGGGAACCATGGACTATACATCGCTACTACTTGTAGAAAACCTTGCATCTCCTTGTTACACCGTTTCTTCAGGAAGTGCGTGAGCAAACAAACGATCCTAAGTTTTAGATTTACTTTCTCCCTGGCCCATTAATCTAAAATATTAATCCCCAACCCAGATTATCGCTTCAAAATAATTTCCCCGATTCAGTCTACCCTCCTGTTCATGACATTGAGCCTTCGTAAGCCTCTTTGCCTTCAATAGTGCACATATTTCCCCTAACCCTTAACGCATCCCTGTTGAGAAGCCCTGAAGAGGTTCTGCGACACATACCTGCAAGGAAGCCACCTCTGCTTCCTCCTATGGAACACTGCACATCCCGAAGCAGGGGCAACAGTCCGGCTTGCTCATTCCACGGCTCAGGTTGGCTCACTGGCCCGTTCAGGGGAGGGCAGAGGAAAATGTGTGGTGGTCTGCACTGGAGCTGGTGACTCCCGTGCGTCTGGTGAAAATGCCCATCACAGAACCCCATGCCCCTGGCACATGGGGGCACGTGGCCAAGATGTGGATCAATATGGCACTGGACCGGCAGGGGCAGTCAGTTATTATTGAATGGGGCTGTTCTAGCCAGTCTCAAACTCCCTCCAAATGACCCTTTCCTGCTTGGCTCTGCTAAGATGCACTTGTGAGTCAACGGGCAGGATTACATGGAACCATCCTGCTGGAAAATGAGCCCTCTGAGCAGATTTCATTACCAACAAGAGCCAGGAGTTGAGCGTGTCCTCTGGACCCAAGGTTCCCGCAGTGAACCTCCTGGCTCAGACAGTTGTACCTTCAGAGAGCAGCAGAACCAGAGGCCAGAGCATGGGCTTTCCCAGGGAAGCTGAGAGGATGCTGGCTTGTGGAGTGGGGGCGGGGCACCCAAGTGGTGCTAAGTGACTCTGGGCTGCTGTGGTTGACTAGAGTGAGGTGCCTCTGGGCACTTCAAGGCCAAATGACTCACAGTTCAGGGTTCAGCAGAGTAGTGGGCCCCTATGGGCATTCATGAGCAGACGTTACAACTCAAATCTGAGCATTTCTCACTGGATGACAACTTAACTTCCTTCATACAGCCTGTAATCGTGGATTTTACCTGGGAGTCCTCTGAAGCCATCACAAAGGCCGTTAGGACCCAGCTTGGTAAGAGGGACACTAAGACATCACAGAACCAGCGGTCAGGACAGCCCGGCTGGCCCTGGAATCAGAAACCGCCTCTGGAATCAAGCTCCGCACACTGACACGCGCACACACATTTTTGTTTTGCACTTTAAAATCCCTTTTCTCTGGGAACAGTCCAGTGGAATAGTATCAACCTGGGAAGCCACTTGTTTCTGTCCTGCCCAACAGCATGTCAGAAGGCCATCTGTGAGCACAAAGAGCCACGAGGCCCCCCCAAAGCATGAAGAACCCCCCTGGTGTCTGGTTGAGGTCAGCGTAACCCTAGACATCAGTTCCACCAGGAGCCACGTCAAGGACTTGTCCTTTTCTGGCTTTAGCTGGTTCTGTTCTCTGCAGACTAACAATAACCAAAGGCAAAAATGCCCAGGCACGGATGGCAAACCCTGCATTTGCAAGCCTCCTTCCCACCACTGGCCCTGCCTCCTCCTGCATGTGGGGGCATCAATGGTAGGACTGAAGTTCTGAATTTGTGTTCTCCCAGAATGCTCCACGCATGTTCCCTCCTACCCCAGTAGAGTGAATAGATGCAGGCTCAAGTGCGCCCTCAAGGGAAGGACGGCCAGTATGGGTTTCATACCAGGACGAATCATTTCAATGTGGGGCTAAATGCAATGTGCGTCACTCCAGGAATCCTCTTCAACACCCCCCTCCCCCAAACCCATGGTCTCCAAGGTTGTCACGGAGTGGAAAGCTTTGGGAAGTTTTACTTCCTCTTACAAAAGGGAGCCATTTAAAAAAAAACAAAAAACAAAAGGGAGCCATTTGCTGTGGGTGGGGCAACCAGATTTTAAAACGAGCTGCAAATTCAAGAATTCCCCCAAGATCCGTGTTAATTAAATGTGGCTTTTTAAAGCAGGAGTGGTGGCAGCTCCACCTTCCCAACACTCTACCGCAGATTCTTTCTAGAGCTGAGAAAGCCTGCAGAGGACACCCACGTCACCTCTCTGGCAGAGCCCATCCACTTGTCACAGAGCTTGCCCAGCCCAAACCAACATATTCCAGACCTGGCCATGTTACCGGGCAGACAAGAAAAAGCAATGACGAGGTGCTGGAAATCTTTATTCCGCTGGATGACCTTTTTAGGAGTGCAACAGAAACATGCTTTTAACAGACGGGCAGCAGCATCTCACCCCATTGCACTCTTTTACAACGATACTGAAATTTAAAGGCATTGGAACAGGGATCTAGCATACATTTCACAAGCTTTTTTCCTTTCTTTTTTAAACAAAGACAAAAGATGTCTGACAGAAAAACCCGGTGTGGCCAAGATTAAGATGAACTCCTTTAAGGATTAAGTCAATGGCAGCATGTAAAGCAGAAATGCTTTGGGAATCAAATGCAACGTTTCCTTGGTCATAGCTCATTTAATTTTTGGTTCTGGCACGTAACATTCCTTCCCAAGGAACCACTTTCTACCAAAGCCTCTCTGACCCTGCTTCCGTTTTTGAAAAGTTCCTGACGAGGGGGTACTTAGGTCCTCCATGATCAGTCATGGTTCGGTCGTTCAATTTTGTCCATTGTTTTTATTGGGGCTCAAGGTTTTATACGTAGAGAGACTTAGGGAATCCAGCCACAGTGCTGAATTTGCTTTTTAAAAAGAAAAATAACTTTTTAAAGTCAACAAAGTTCATCTACTAGTAAATGGGATTCTTGTACATTCAGGTTTCAGAGAAGGCACGAGGACAAATTCATTTAGAAAAACCCGCGCTGGGAGTTTACATCCTCCTCCTGATTGGAAGGCATCCTTATTACTCGGAACGTGGCCAACTCACAGGGCTTGAATCTGGCAGGAGGTCACCTGAACCAAACCTCGGGGCTCCCACTTGCCCCCCACCACCCTGGATGGCACTTTTTCCTTGCTACTTTCCACCCCCTGGGACAGTCTCTGTGGCCAACTTTGAACACCTGCTGTTTCTAAAAATGGTGATTCCAGGGCCCTAACACCAATGGCCTGCCTGAGTCAATAACTGGGGTACCAGAATGGGAATCTAAACGTTTTAACACACGTTTGCCAGGATAGATGAGAGCCAACATCCAAAATGTACCTCCAATATGATTTTCTCATTCAGTTGCAAATTCTTTTACAATGGGCTTAAAAGCTGTTTCAAAGGAGATGGAGGGAGAAAAAATGGCACACAGATAGTTTGAACTTTCCCTAACGGGCCTGTCTTCCGTGGCTGAACCATTGTTGGATCCGATGTAAGCTAGAATGATGTGGCCCATGCTGGTTCCTTAGATGGAACTAGCACATCACCCCCGATTATAAATCTTAAGAACAAAGGAGTTCTGTGAGAACGTTCTTGCATATTGAAGTGTCTACAAAGTAAATCTGGTTACAAAAATAAAAGCATTTGTGCTTTATGACTTTGGGCCAGCTTTGAACAAACCTCCTTGTAACTCACACCTGTGTCTGCACTCATCCAAGCTCCCGCTATCCCAGGCACCACTTGTACACGCCCTGCGGCTCACCACTGCCGGCGGAGCCTTCCATTTCCAGTGGAGACGAGAGCAAACAGGAACCAACGCTCACAGGCCAATGGCAAGCACCCGGGCTGGTGTTAATCTAAGCCTCCTGGGGCAGATTCTTGCTCAGAAGAGATAGGACTCTGAGGATGGTTTTACACTTACACCTGGTAGTTTCATCCTTCAGATTTTATCTGCAAATCCCGAAAGACTTCTCAGTGTCACACTGAGTCTCTCTTATTTTTACTATAAGTAAGATAACTGGAAGAATACAACAAAAAATCTCAGCAACATTTCCAACTTCTTAAATGAATTATTTGAACAGAACTGTGGAAACCTCCATTTACATGTTAACAGGAATACTATTCGGGAGTGTTAGGAACGAGCTGCCTGGGAAAGGCCTCCTGGGCGAGAGAGCCACCAGCACTCACTCATGTTCCCCCGCATGTCTGTCGCTGGCCTGCAACTTACAGGCTGAGGGAAGCTAAGAGGTCAAGGCATTCTCTTCGAGCTGGGGATAGACATCCCCCTGGCATGACTACTCACAGTCAGCAATCAGAAGGCATCTCGTTTTTAAAAGCTGATCTGAAGACAGAAACTCATGGTTAAACAGAAAACTCCAAAGAACCCTTACTATTCCCCTCAGGGGAAAGTTTCCAGAAGCTGAATAATTAAGCCGTATATCAAAAATAAGCCTCCCTGGGGTAATTAAGCCATGATTATTTCTTCATAATACCAAAATAGAGGTGGTGAAATTGAACAGTAGCTCAATTCTAAGAGGTAACTAAATCAAACATTGCCACTCTAGGGTCCATCGACAGCTTACTGAAGGCATCTTTTCGTTTACAAAGTGCCCTCCCTCCGCCCATCTTCCCAGTTAGTGACCTCCGCCCCTACAACACTGGCGTCTGGCCCACCGGGGTTATCGACATCCGCCAGAAAGATGTGAGGGATTCATTCACATCTAATCTACAGATGTCCCAAAGACATAAATACCCTGTCTGGCTCTCAACCTCTGTAGTCCACTTCCGGACACCTGCCCTCTGACCCTTTCCACCAGTCTTTCCCAGGGCAATAAAAGCAGCTGGAGAAACCCTTAGGAACCCTTTCCGTGCCAAACCCTACTGTAGTTTGCTAGGGGGTCTGTATTGAAACCTCTCTTCTTTCCTGAGACGGGGGTTCTTGTGGCCTCTATACCTTTTTTTTTTTTTTTTTTTTGAGTCAGCTAATTCTCTGGCTTAGACCAAGGGCCAGCTCTGACCTTTCTTTATGTGGCTATCCTAAACTCCTTCCACCTCATGTCCTTGGATCTCTGGTTCCCTACAAACCTCACCACCCTCAGTAAATCTATTCATTAAAAGCCTCACTCTGTCTCTCAGCTTCTGAAAGACCTCGCAGGCACACATTTAGGAGGGGGGAGGCTAACACTTTAGTGTTAGGGACTATGTTTGGGACATAACTTTTCTCACCATTAAAAGCAGACTGCTTTTGACAGTTAAATACCCTGAAATGGATACACTTTCTGATGGAAGCCATGGAAAGAGCAAAGTGCATCAGCATTTGTGAAGCTCACTACTGAGAGGTGAGGCCACCTGCGGCTGCACACTTCCAAGGAACTGCCAAAGCTTACTCTCATCGTATGCACTTAACAGTTCTTACAACAAGGATACACTTCGATAAGTCCAACAGCAAGTGAATAAAACAGCATGGATTTCAGGGCACGGTGGCATGAATTACGGGGAAGGAAAAAAAAACAAAAACAACCAAATGCTTGGAATTAATCTGGGACCTAAAAAAACACTTGAGCTGTAATAGGTTAAAGTGGTCACAAGAAAAGCCTTAGATTTACACACGAAAGGAGCCGTTTTTCCCCAGTTCCCAGTCATACTCCACGTGTGAAATGTACTCTCCCAGTTATACTCCACGTGAGAAATTTTCATTCTGATTTGCCTTGAGCCTCCAATCTCTCTCCCAGGAGAAAGATTATCATGAAAAATTAAGACTCATAACCCGAATGTTTATGTAAATACTTGCAGGCTAGTTTTAAGAGGTGGTTGGGTGTGTTTTTGCTTTAGAGCCATAGCTCACCCTCACAAAGCAAAGGAAAAGACAACCAATTGAGGAACACAGGTTCAGACACAATCAAAGCAACCAGTGAGACATTCTTAGATATTTCGATGTGTTGTCTATGTTTAAAAGTAGGACTTTGAACCGCACAGGGCCAAAGCGATTTTAAAGCTACCAAATAGTGGCAAGTGAAGCTTCCAAAGTAAAACAGAACATTTACTGAGTAAAATGAGCAATTATAGCATTCATATGGAAAGTACATTGGACAGTGCATATGAGAAAGCAGATGGGAATTACTAAGCCACATGAAACACGTTATCAATTAAAGGCAGCGAGAGGTGGTAACTTGCTTCCCCTCTAATCTTTAGTAAGTCCTTATGAAGAACTCACCAAAAAGACAAAAAAAGGCAAGGATTCTCAAGTGATAATTCACGTATAGTACGTATGCATGTACAGTGTCTAGGTGTATACACACACACATACGTATACATACATACATATACACCCTCCTGAACCTGACCAAGGCACAACAAACTCAAGTGACCTATCAGAGGTCACACTCAAGCTCCAAGCACCCAGTGCAATCCTTGACTGTGAGCCACTCAGGCCTGTCTGCCATCCTTTCCGGAAAGCATGTTGCAATCCCCCGGTCAGCCCAGAGAGTAAAGACGCCCGTCTCAGGGCCCGGTCTACTTGAATGAGGAGTCTCGAGTAACAGAGTGATGGCATCGCGATCAGCCAGTCTGGAAATTCTGAAGCATTTGTGAGTCTGAAAAACTTAAAGAAAAAAAGCTATCTCCTCAAAAAACTAAGGTTTAAAAACAAAACAGTCACCTGGTAAATGTCACCCCAAAGACAGCACCCTCCTGGAGGTCGTCCCCCATCCCTACCACACCCCCAAACCTCAGGCTCAGTCTCAAAGGCACTAAGTGGCACAGGAAGGGCTTCAAGCTGCATCCCGTCGTCGTCTCCTGTCACCTTTCCCCATCAAGTGCACCAAGCAGAGAGCAGAGAGAAAGCAGACAGAGGCTGGGGTCACACAGCAAGGAAAGCAAGGCTTTCAGCAGAAGTGGAGGTGTGGCTAAGGAGCTGAGGGCCCAGGCGAGGCCGTCCGTTTATTACAGTGCCGCCAGCGTCAGCTCATCCGGGGTGGTGTCAAGGTCACCCTCCGTCTCCTCTGGGCCTGGACTTGGACCTGGGGCAGTGGCAGAAACCCAGGCGACATCAGGAGGGGACCGGACGGACTCTCGTGGGCTCCGCCTATGCAGGTGTTACTGAGCTTTCCTCTCCACTGCCAGCTGTCTCCCAACAATCGCATCCCGAAGAGCCGCTTGAGTGGAATTACACATGTAAGAAGTAGCCTGCAAAAGTCCAGCGGGTTATAGGTCACTTAGTGAACACTTGGAGATCATTGTCAAAGCCCCCTCCACCTGGGGGGGTGGGGAGTGGGGGAAACAGGACGGACTGGGGGGGACGGACTGGAGGGGATAGTAATATAGGTGTGGGGACAGGAGAGGGAGCTCCTGAGCACTGCTCTGTAGGAGGGGTAGGTGCGGGCAGGCCCGGTGGGCAGCTCCCTGGGTTTCCTCCCCAGCTTCTTGTCTCTACCTGACCTGTCCGGGCTACTCAGAAAACCGGTCAGAGTCTCGGGCCTCTCTGAGAAGGCGATCCTGCTGAAGCCTGAACGCACGGTGATTTCTAAAGGAAGGAGCCGGCAGCCAGTCTCTAACCGGCTCTACTCAACACAACACAGAAAACTGTGTTACGCTCAGTTTTCAAAGCACTTGGTTTTCAGGGAAGCAAGTCAACCTTGGGAGGGGAAACAAACACACAGGGGATGTGTCTGAAGAGTGGATCATCAGACGCTGCCTGCAAGATGCATAACAGTATGTCCCGAGGAGGCAGGTTTTCAGGCAGGAAGGCAAAGTATTAGGAAAAAATATCAGTAGCCTAACCCCATGTCTTCGAGTTTATTCCGACTCACGGTCACGGCGACCCGATAGAGCGCTCTGGAGACTCTGTCTTCGTGGAGGCAGCCAGCCTCCTCTCCCTCCCACAGAGCAAGCAGCCCGGGGGTCTGAAGGCCCAACGAGGCTGTCAGCAACCCAACGTCTAGCCCTCTATCAGGAGAAAATGGTCAGGGAAGGTCTCGGGCCTTCTTTCAGAACGAAATTCTCCCCTCAGAGCGATTTCACAGCATGAGCGCCAAGGCCTGTCCACCATCCCCCCAACCCCCGTCCACCAGGGCCACTCACCTGCTCTAATACCAAATTTGCAGCATTATCGATGGCTCCGCCCAGCTCCCGGTATTCGCCAGAGTACCTGATGTAACCCCAGGTGAGGAGCGCGATCAACAGCAGCCCCACCACACAGTTGAACAGCTGGGCCACGGCCTCGAGGCCCACGAAGTGAGTGAGGGCCGAGGCCACGTAGAGGGCCGCGATGCCGCTGAAGAGCACGGCGGGCGTGCGAAAGGTGCTGAAGACGTTCTTGCTGCTGTTGTGCTTGAGGAAGTTCTCGTAGAGCTCCTTGATCTCCTCCTCCAGCTCCTCCTGGTAGCGGAGGCTGAACTCCTTGCCCCCCATCTTCTTGGTCCTCTTGAAGTGTTCCAGCGCCAGCTGTCTGCACTCACTGTGCTTCTCCTCCAGAATGTCTGGGGACAGGTACGGCTTCTCTCCCCCGCAGATCTAAGGAGAACAGAGGCGCTCATCAGCCCTTCCCCAGACCAGGGTCCCGAGACACGGGCAGGCCTGGCCGGTTTTAAAAGGTCTCCGAGATTAACTTTCAAGTGACTCTCAAGACCAATCCCCCGGCTGGGCTCAATCACCCAACAAGCACATTTCAATGGTCCCGGGTGGTACTGAGTGACACCCAACTCTCCTAAAGTGCTTGGCTGCAGGCCCATCACCTGGCCAGTTGAACACAGCTGGGTTGCTCATCACCTCAAGGCAGACTGCAAACAGGACGAGTCTGGCCCGCTGTGGTGGGTGAGGGGCTCGGGCTACTGCAGATAAGGCCTCTGTCGCACGTACCTCTTCCATGTGGTTGTAGTAAATGTCCTTGGCAGAGGCTGCAGCAGCGAGGTTGTTGGCTTCAGCGGTGGCCTTTAAAGAGAGGAGAGCGGGAGTTAGGGGTCTTGGAGAGAAACCCGTCGAGTTTCCTCCTGGCCTCTTCCCCGTTCTCCCTTTCTGACTCCCCTCCCTTCTGTGAGATCCTAATTTACCAAAGTCTAGTTCATGAAATAAAGCATGAACTAAAAAGCTCAGTTTATACATGAGAATCTTTAACCTCAGCAGCAGTTCTCAACCTATGGATCACAACCCCTGTGGGGGTCAAACGACCCTTTCACAGGGATCGTCCGATTCGTAACAGTAGCAAAATTACAGTTATGTAGTAGTAACAAAAATAATTCTGTTGTTGGGGGGGTCACCACCACGAGGAACTGTATTCAAGGGTCAGGCATTAGGAAGGCTGAAAACAACTGGCCTAAGCGAACCTCCCCAAACCTATGGAGAACAACTTTCTTTGCCTCAGCACCAGATACAAGAAATGGCATTAAGGCAATATAAGAAAACAGTTTCTTTGGCAACGTCAGTGCCGGGCTCTAGCGACCACTTATGAAAGTGGTTTGTTGTTAAGGAAACCCACATTTGTCAACAACTGGTCTGACTGGCCACCATGGGCAAATCAGAATGTACACGGCACGGCACAATGAAAAGACTGCTGTTGGTTGAGGACCGAAAAGCCCCAGGAAACCAGCACCCCGGTGAGTACACACGGCGTGTCAGGACATGTGCTCTTAGAGCAGGCCTGTCTGACATACCGAGCTTGGCTTCTTCCCCCTGAGCATAATCAGGCCAGGTTTTCCAAAGTACGTTTGGTGAGAAGCCCAAGCCCGAGCAGCAGTGGTCTTTGTTTCAGATAAAACAGGACCCAGCCATGCCACTGCGGAGAGCGCTGAAAACAGACCCCCGCCGGGGCTGCCCCCCCCCACCCCCACGTCCACCCGCCGAAGGGGGAAGGAGAGCTGCAGCAATCGATGCCAAAGGGCTCTGCCTTGGGTGCACTCGGCACGTCCTGGTGGGCCACAGACCCGTGCGTGGTGTCCCGAGGCTGCTTACCTGCAGCATGGATTTGGGGTGAGGCAGATCTTCTCCTTGGTAAATTTTAATATAGGCCTTAGAAAAGAAACAGAAAGGGGTCATACTTCGGGCACACATTTCACTTTGGAAACAGTGAGTCACTCGAGTGCGCTTATTTTCCTAAGGGCCTAGATGAGATGAGCCACCAGGAATTGTGGGGAGAAGTCAGATCCTTGCTGCCAGACTGCTGTCTCATCCCTCCACAGGGGTGGGCCTGCTCCCTGCCTCTGGGGACAATGGACAGGCTCCTGTAGGAGGGGTTTGCACCCTACTGATAATGTTCCTATGGAGACCCAGAGACCACCCCCTAGACCACCCACTCATTGCTGTGTAACCTATAGTGCAGCCCCTTCCTGTGACCCCTTCCTGTGACGTATGTCTTTACCTGTAATTAGTGGGCTGGATTGCCCCCAAAAGGTATATAGGTGTAAGACTTCAAGGACTTCTCTCTGACTCTCTCTGACTCTGAGCTCCTTGCTCCTCACTCCCTGGTTACTCCCCTCTCCCCTGTTTCCCTTACCCTCCTTCCCTTCCCCCTCTCTCCACGTGGACCACCAAGCTGGGCTGAGGTGAGCAATGTTGCTATGTATCATGCCTGACTGTATTATTGTATTATCTCTCATGCTCTCGATGACTTTAATATAATGCTTATATATCTCAACCGTACAATTGTGCATTACTGAACCCAGAAGTAGTATTACTGAACCAGTGAGTTCAAGCAGCGGGTGGGGGCTGGTCCCCTCACCCTCCGTCCGCGCAATTTATTTTTTTTATATAATACTACAAGGAATTAGCGACAACACAACACACCTCCTCCAGTGCATGTTAGTGGTCAGGGTTAGCACCATTCGCCAGCAGCACAAGCCCTGAGGCCAGGGTCTCCAGCAGACTCCGCATGCACACTGGCTGGACCACTACCTGCGGGCAGGCAGGTGGGGACCATCCACCGGCGGGAGTCCCGTCACATCTAGGGGCCACACCGTCTCCTTGAGGAGCCATCTTCCTCAGGCCATGGTAATCACGTCTCAGAAAGGGCAGGGAACAGCCACTGGACTCTTGGACTGATAGATACTGCCACCTCCCTAGTGGCTCACCCCTGGAAGGGCAGGAAGGCTTCTGAAAATTTCCATCACCAGCTCCCTTAGGCTTTGAATTCAAGCACCTGTTACCACCTTGTTGCCCAGGCTGGCTCAGGTCAGTTGGAACAGGTGCACAGGGACCTTAGTTCGCCTTCCCTGGGCGCAAGGCAGGCTCCAAGCCTTTGCAAATGCTTTCAAGAGCTGCAGGTGCAGGGCGTGAAGGTGGTTTCTGACCCAGAATTTGCGTGGGTTGGGTCAGATGTAGACAGGTTAAAGGGGACCACCTTTATCACTTGACCTCTCTTTGGGCCCATTTCAAAGTTGTTCTACTTTTTAATATTTCCTGCTTTCTTTTTACTATTGAGGTTTCCCCCATTCTGTCTTGTCCTGGCTGTCAGCGTGTTGGTTCTGTGTTTCAGTGCATGGAACCCAGGAGGGGTGGATCTAGAGGCAGTAACTGGATTCATGGCTTCTTGAGGGTGTGGCAGAAGCTGGGGGGAAATGAGGGGCTGATAACAAGAAGAAGAAGAAAATGGGAACTGATTACAATGACATATAATAACAGACCACCTCCCCAGGGGGCTGAACAACAGTAACGTGGATGAAGGGAGACAGCAGGCCATGTAAGTTATGAAAATAATCATTTCTAATTTATCGGGTGTCCATGAGGGTGGGAGGGAAGGGGCAAAAAAAAACGAGCTGATACCAAGGGCTCAAACAGAAAGAAAAGATTTTGAAAATAATGATGGCAACAGATGTACAAATGTGTGTTTGATGCTATTGATGTACGGATTGTTATAAGAGTCCCCAGTAAAATGATTTATAATTAAAAAAAGAAGAAAATGTTCTAAAGTTGACCGTGGTGATGAGTGTACAACTCTTCCTGATTCGACTGAACTGCTTGCTGAAAGGCGGATTACGTCCCAATAAGACTGTTTGCTGACCATAGGGCCAGTTCGCTCATTTGAGAGTGAGGGACCATGTCCAGAACACTACGGGGCAAATAGAGTGGTGGGGCTGTGTAAACCGGCAGTGCTAAGTGAGCCCTGACTGCTGGTACTTGACCTCCAGGGACACGAGTGCAAAGCACTTCCATTTGCTTGTTGGGCAGATACTGCCACCCAGTGGCTCACTCCTGGAAAGACAGGGAAGTCTCTCAAAGTGCTTCTCACGTCCTGCCCCAAGGAGACTTTCTCGCCCCTTGAGCTTGGAAAGAAAACATTTTTCCAGTTACTTCACTTCCTAGCTGACATTAACCTCCCCCACTCCTTGCAGCCCTCCCCAAAAGTCCAGCCATCAGTCATGAAAGCCCATCGTCACCTTAAAATACTCCAGCAGTCCCCGGCAGGTGACCTTCGAGCCATTGATCTCCTTCTCCATCAAGTGAGCGGGGTCCAGGACGAAGGGTATCAGCGTCTGCAGCTGCTCCTTGAACTCACTGGCAATATCTGTGCCAGGAGCAGAGAGAGGAGGAGGAAAGTGAGGGGAGCAGGCGCAACCAGCCGGACTGCACTCACGTAAGCACAAAACACAGTCCTCACAGGCGACCACCTGGCGGTGGCTCCATTTCAGGGAACAGAGTCCTGGTAGGTTATGCACTGGGCTGCTAACCACAAGGTCAGTGGTTTGAGCCCATCAGCTGCTCTGAGAAGGGAAGATGAGGCTCCTGTAAAGACGGGTGGCCTTGGCGGCCCACAAGGCAGTGGGGTGGGGGTTTATCTTTAAGGGGGTCTGGTGGCTCGGCGGATGAAGCACAGACTCGCTGGCAATGCCTGACTGGGTTGCTGTATTGAACACTGTGGGGTAAGGAGGGCCTCCGGCTGGCTTTTCGGAGTCTCTACCCTAACAAACCTTTCTCTTCCTTTCTCCAGTGAAGCAGCCGTAAAGAAGAGGGTTGCAGTCCGGGTTGCAGTCTGGGAGATGTTTCTACTCTCCAGCCTATCCAGAAAGTTCACGTTTAAAAAACAAATTCCATACACAAGGTGTTCAAAATACCAGCTACTAACGCCTCCGGCTGGCTGAGGCCTGGCCCAGTGCTGACACTTAAAAAACGTAGAAAAAAAACATGGGTTCTCCTTTGGCTTTTCTTGTGCTCGCTGCCTTTGGTGCAAACAAAAGGGTGGTGCCCGCAAGCTCCAGGCTCGTGGAGACACACCCCCCCCCACTCCCTACCTCCCAGGCTGCCTTCTTTCCAGTCTCTCGGACTTCCCACCTTGGAGGGGGCCTTTCCTGCTACTCGCCCGCCATCTGCGTCCACATCAGCGTTGTCCTCTTGACAGGCTTCCACCTACAGAGGTTCTGGCTTTCATGGGTTTGCTGCATTCATTCCCGATGGGCTCCTCGCAAAGCCCTCTTGGCTGAAAGCACTGCCTACCTGTCTTAGGGGGAGGTGACAGATTCTCTGCCGCGTCAGGGGCAGTACCTCAAAGCTAATCCAGTTCTGAAGAACAGTCACTACTCACAACTAGGGGATCGATGCCAACTCACAGCGACCCAACAGGGCAGGCTAGTACACCCCTTGAGTTTCTGAGACTGCAACTCTTTCCTGGAGTAGGAAGCCCCACTTTCTCCCTCAGCACCAACGAATGGGGATTTCTAACTGCTGACCCCGTAGTTAGCAACCCAAAGTGTTACCACAACAGCAGCCAGGCCTCCTATGAAGAGACGGGGGAATTAGAACCCAAAGAATTCCACTGACATTTCCTTCTCACATCGCCCTGGGTTCCTGGGTAATGAAGTTATCGCCTGGGTGGGCGGGTTCAGCTTACATCAGTGAGAGAACTCTTCAGTGCTGTCCTGGCCCTTGGCCTCTGATATAGTTAGTTTATTGTGCCAACCTGGCCGATAAACACAGGTGGGGTTAATTGAAGGGCGGAGGCATAAATAACTCAGTGAGCCGCACCTTTCTAGTTCTCAGGTCTCTTGCTTTGTGATGGTCGGACCAGGGTGCAGCTGCCTTAGCCAGTTCCCTGCTTCAGCTGGCAAGGCTCACTGCCTGCAAGACATCCCTGAGGAGAAGCCACATGGACCTACCCCGATGCAGCCCTGGGTGCTGGAGCAGCCGTGTGGAGACCCCTGCCAGTGCTGAGATGCTTACACGTTCACTGATTTGGCTTTCCTCCTGCAGTCGGTGTCACTGCGTGTGTTTTGTGAGATGGAGGAGGACTTTGTGGATTGGTGTCGACATATGGGTTAATGTTGGACTTGTGGGCTTGGGCAGCACTGGGTTGGAATGTTTTCTTGATGTGCACTTAACCTTTACATAAAACTCTCTCTTATACATGAGTTTCTGTGGATTTGTTTCTCTAAAGTACCCAGACTAACACAGCCTCATTTACAAAATTGAGACATTCTGATCTCATTCATTCAACATGATTTGTCACACCATCACATTACAGACCATGTTCAAGGAGTTGGGGGCGGAGGAGAGAATAAAAAAAAACACCCGGGGAGGGAGGGAAAAATGAGGACCTAATGTCGGGGGTTTAAGTGGAGAGAAAATGTTTTGAGAATGATGTACAAATGTGCTTTACACAATTGATGTGTGTATGGATTGCGATAACAGTTATATGAGCCCCTAATAAAATGTTAAAAAAAAAAAAACACCTAAAGGTGCTTACATCTGAAAAGGGGGTGTCTACCTCTGAATCTTGTTTCTTGTCTTAACAGGCACGTTGCACTGTCTGCCATATAAAGGTCTGTCTGAAGCAAGCACGACGTCCCAGCCTGAGAGGGACAAGACCAGGTGCGGAGGAACCGCCCAACCCCAGGAAGGTCACGTCAGCAGCAGCAGCAGGTCTGAGACAGCTACTCTTCTGAAACTTGAATCAGCCTCTCCACTGTCTGCACCTCAGAAGTAGCACATTCATTTCGTTTGAATTCACTTCCTGTTATCTGTGTGCGCTCATTCACCCGTTCAGCAAACACATCCTCCATCCCTACCACGTGCCATCAAGTGCTCCAAGAGCTGTGGATAGCCTCACAGCTAAAGAGCATGTCAACAGGTAGGGTGATCACAGAGGCAGGGACAAGTCTGGAGCTTCAGTGACCTTTCGTAAGCTTAGGGTTAGAAGACTTGAACTCTTTAAGTTGCACCTGTTCTTGGCCAAGGCTCTGCCCAAAGATATACGGAAGCACAGATCAACTGCCATGAGCTCTTTCCAGAGAAAACCGCTTGAGTCAAAGAGAAACACTGTAGCCAGGCTCACTTCCAAAGCTTTGTAAGGTTAAAATAACGTCTCATAGGAAAGCGTACAGAATTAATTGTACCTCTCTTTCTAACTAAGTCCCCCACTACCACAAATTATGCAGTCGAATTTCCCACACTTGGGGAAACCGCAGGGGTCAGCACATCGGGAGTGCAATGGGTGAGCCTCGCCCCGGGAAAAGCACCCTCATGATCATGGTGTCTCCCCTGCCAGGTCAGTGCCCATCTTCCCTTCTAAGGCGTATTCTAGGTGTGCTTCTTCCAAGACAGATTTGTTTGTTCTTCGGGTCATCCACGGTACAGTACTGTCAATATTGGTCACCAGCACCGTAATTCGAAATGCATCCATTTTTCTTCAGCCTTCCAATTCCACATGCAAATGAGTCGACTGGACATACTATGGCTTGCATCACTGTCCCTGTGTGCCCACTCTCAGTACTTACAGATGAGGCAGCAGTGTGAGCTGGAAAGGGCACAGGTTTGAGGCTCAGAATCTCAAACCTACGAACTCTGGGCCTGAATGTTCTTTGCTAAAAAACAATGGAGATTAAAATTCTTTAATTCATAGTAGGAAAAAAATGCTGTGAGGATTGAATAAAATATGTTTTATAAATGTTTTCAGCATGGTGTCAGTCTCAAAACAAGGAGCGGTCAAAGTTGTCTCCTTTTTAAAATTTCTCGATTTGATCATTCCTTGCACACCCTTGGAAGTGTTGAGAAACAAGGGTGTCACGTTGGGGACTGAAGCGCACCTGACTCGGGCCATGGAAGCTTCAATCAGCTCTGAAGCAAGCAATGGCTGAACCCTGAACGCGGAAGGAAGACTGAAGAACCAATGTGTTTGAAATGTGGGGCTGGTGACGAATACTGCAAGTGTCATGGACTGCCGACAGGCCAAACACGTCTGTCTGGGAAGAAGATAGCGAAGACAGCGAGGCTTTGTCTCTGGACGTGTGAGATACCAGCTGCTGGAGAAGAGACATCACGCTTGGTAGGAGAGGGACAGCGACAAAGACGAAGGGCCCGGGGAAGAGGGACTCTAAGAAGGGGCTCCAAGGCACCGAGCAACAGCGACACAGAAGACACCTTGTTGTTGCCTGGAGGGAGGACAGCCACGGTGTGATGAGAGCAGAGCAGAGCTGCGTAAGAGGGAGGCCGCCGGGTTGGACAGCCTCTGCAGGGGGAGGA